TCCTGCCCCCCAGCGCCTCTGCGCGCCTTCCCGCCCTGTCCCTGTGCTCCTCCCTCGGCGGTGGCCGGCGGAGGATGGCAGAGCCACCCTCCCCTCGCGTTTCTGTGGCAAACAGCCCCTCGGGCCCAGCTCCTTCCGTGGGCCTTTCGAAAGGGATTCGGTTGGTTTTGTTCCTTTCGCGAGTTGCTTTTCAAACCTCTTCCTCACCTCCGTGCTGTCTTCCGTGGTTAACTTTTCCAACTTTATGATCCGCTTTTCTTATTTCTATGCACATCTTCCACTTTTTGAAAAGTGTCTTTTAAGCTTCTTTAAGCTGAGTGGATGGAAATGGAGTCTAACCACAGCAACTGCTTTTTTGGTGTGGGTTTGGTTTTGGGTTTTTTTTTGTTTTTGTTTTTTTTTTTTAAATCTCTTGTGCAAAGCGGTATGCAGAGTGCTGTCTTTAAATAGCGTCCACACCCCCACACGCAAACATTTATCTGTTTCGTTGGCTTAGTTTCTTCATAACAGGCTTCCTCCTGTTCCTGTGGTTCCGCATTTTGAGCTAAAACGCTGTTGTGAGGGAGGGGGATGGTGCTGAGGGCAGGTTTTTGTTTATAACTTGTTTCCGCAAGAACGTTCGAGGTAAGCGCGGGATAAAACGGCACGTTAAAGCGAGGTCCCACCGAATCCACCACCCAAAGACTTGCGGCCCAGTGAAGGGAGCCATTCTAGATTCAAAGCTTTTCCATCGATGGTAACGTGCTGAAAAATCACTAATACTTGGGTATGCTTAAGGATAATGTTATTTTAAGTTAGGGGAAAAAAAAGTAAATCACATGCAAAACCCAGAAGAAGTTAAGAATGTTTTTAAGCCTGTATCAATGGATAAATATTTTCATAAGGGTTTCTTTATGAAAATCTTTTTTATTCCTGCACATTCTACTTTTCATAACCATCAGGTTAAGGTTTCAGTCTCTGCAATGGAAAGAACTAGCAGAGACTTTTAAAAATGTAATCTTAGATTTTTTTTTTTTGTTGTTGTTGACTTGTCACTACAGGTTTTATTCTTTGAGTATAGGAATTTTTTTAATATAATAATGATCTTGGTCTAAGGGTTAGATGTCAGCTATGAAACTTATGATGAAGTTCCTAGTATCGTCCTTTCCCATGCCTGGCTACAAAACAGCAGGAACAAAGTGAACAACTTTGCAACAGGAAGGAGAGCGGCAGGATGAAGCTTTCACTGAAAGTGCACCGCGATCTCTGGAGTGGTACCCGCTGCCCCCAGCTGCCTTGATGATCACATCTGGGGATTTAAAGACAGTAGACTGACTGCATTTTGTTTGTGATGCTGGGTAAAGGGAAATTGTTAATTGTTAGTTTAATGAAAAGCTTACAGTATTCCACCAGGTCTCCTTGGGATTGTTTAGGGTAAATGGTTGTGTCTTACTTTAAGGTATACGTGGCTTGTCAGTCGATGCTCGTTGTGCTTGTGGGAGCTGTGCCTGAGTATCATATAGACCAAGAAGGAATTCCAGCGAGCAGAGCTGAGCTTGCCAAGCACATCCATTTTGCAGACAACTTCACATCTATAGTAACTGAGGCAAGTACTTCTGTTGCACCTGACTTTCTTCTCTTCTTGGGATTTATGCTGCTAGTGCAGGATGTGGCGCTTGTAAAAGCTGAGCAGGGCTTCGTGTAACGTTTTGCTTATGCTATGAAAAATTATTGGAACCCACCCATCTGGCTTTTTATTTTATTATTATTTTTAAATCTGGTAGTATGTGATTAAATTATTAGTTTAGCTTTCTAATGTAAATTTAATATTTATTAGTTTAGGCTAAACTTTTTCTGTTTATTTTGTTTTCAGTGGTTTTTTTTTCCTTCAGATGTTTTAGAAAGTCATTACTAATGAAGAATGATCATTTACAGTTTATAACTCTGGAATTTAGGACGCGCTCCTCATAATGTCTGTTTTCTACCAAGAAAAGGTTCAATTTGTCACGTCTGCACAATCTGCTGCATATATAAGCTTTACCATGAGTTTCTCACGGAAGATATGTCTTAAAGATTAACACAAGTATGAAAATGAAACTCACGCACCGCATGTGTGGGTATTTTAATGTGTAGTGAGAGTGGGAGATGGAACAGATTGAAGCTTGCTGAGTGGGACAGAAGCTTGACCCTTCATCCTCACGCCTTGTGAATTCCATGCAAGAGGCTGCGTTTGCTTTTTGCTAGTCCCTGGGCTGTAATCACTCAAGCAAGCGCGAGTGACCTAAGCATCGCTGCCAGTGCCAGAAAAAAAAGACTGTGTGGGTGGCTTGGCTTGTAGCCTGACCTGTCAGAGTTCTGCTGATTGAATTCTTGGAGCAGTTGTCAGTAAACTCATATAAGACAGGTTAGCACTTGGTGTAGCCGGTGCCAAATTTTTGCTTCCTTCCCATTATCCCGAATGTGACTGCATAATGTTTCTTTTGGAAAAATGTAGTGACTAGACAGAAGAAGGAATGATGCAATATTGGATCATATCCTCTGTCAGAAACAGATTTTTTTGATTAGCCTGTCTTCCAAGATCACCCTTCAGTTTCAGACTCTCAGCAGGATGCGTGATATGGGGTAGTGCTTAATTTGCAATCAGAAATCAGCAAATTTTAACTAATGTGGTATTTTTAAATGTAGAAGTCAGTGTCCCTATTTCCAAAATATGTAGTAATTCTCAAGACTCATCAAAACAAATTTATGTTCCCATTCATTTCAGCAACTTTATTGTAAGATTTTTTTTTTTTTAATTACGTTGTTCATGGTCTTTTCATGGAATCTTTAGATGCTGGCCAACGTTTTGCTGTATGCTAGTGGTCTAGTAACTAAATCAAACTGCCATGTGGATTTAAAGAGCTGAGAGGACGTCTGTTTTGTCGATAACAAAATTGGCAACGTTTTTGTTGGCAAGCTACAGTTAATTTTGACAAATATTTAACAAGTTCCTTTTGTGCAAATAAAGTAGATAGACTCATTCTTTTAAAAGTTATATTCTTCGCAGATTATTATATCAGACTTGTTAAAACGTGAGCGTCTTCCAGTGATACGTTGAGCGGCGTAAGTAACAGTTTGCAAAAGCAATCTTTTCTTTTGCTCTATCCTGAGAGAGGAAGCTGCTTTTGTAAAGTTCATTTCCTTTATTTTGATAATGGAGCTTAAACTGTAAATATTTTCAGTTCTGTTCTGGTTTGGCAGGGGCGCTGTTCTGCTCTGGCGCTCAGCAAAACTGCAGAGCAGCTCTTCACTTCTGCTTCAAGAACTAATCATTGTAATTGATTTTGGCGTAACTAAGACTTCGTAAATAATAGCTCAGGCGTGGTTCATGGAAAATACAGTTGTTAGAATTGCTTCTTGGTCTGGCATCAGCTCAGTCCCCTGCTTTATTTAACAAGTGATGATGCGTAGGAAGGTGAGCTCAGGGATGTCTTACATTTGGTGTAGAAATGGTCCTTTACCTTGGAGAAGTTGATTTTTACAACCATATCCAGGAGCATAAAGTTGTTTTGTCTCTTGTATCAGCCTGAAACACTCTGCAGACGAGAACTGGGAGTTTGAAATTTGTATGCTACGGAATGCTAGCACGGAGAAGAAGGACTTATGCCAGCAGTGCTCTGTGCCTTGAGGAGCACATGCTGTGATATTTTTGTACTTGAAGTTTCCTGAGGATTCGTGCCCAGGAATATTTCATTGTTTAAATCTCCTCAGAAAGTTAAGAAACCATAAGTTTCGGGGCTACATCTTTATCCAATGTAATAGGCTAGAACCTACTACCTAGCAGGGTATAGTAGAAACCAGCTGCAAATGCTGCTGCACAGGAGTTTTACCTTCCCGGAGTATCCAAAAGTTCCACAAAACTCTGAAGTGCTGGAACACTGGGTACATTGGACTAAAGAAGGCATCCTGTGAACGCGTTAGATCTTGTCCTGCTCCCGCAGCCTGCGTCTTGCAGGCTGCTGGATGGGTAGAGCACAGGTAACTGCTGGGTCACCGGGCGGATGGAGCCATGTTGTCTCTGTACTTTGCTGCTATGTGAGTGCAGATTGAGTAAAAGCACGTGTTTCTTGAGATTGCTATAATTAAAAGTTTCAGTAAATTCCTAATATTCTTTGGCTATCTGTATTAATTCAAGGCAGACACTTTAGGGCTGAGGTCCTAGTATGCTGTATTGGATTTTGGATTTTGGTCATGGGCTTCTTCCCTTAGGCTTTTTTTTTTTTTTTTTAAAAAAAAACCCTTCTACTTCTTAAAAAAGGCAAATGGGATTAGGATCCTCCTTCCTTTCCCCAAAGGACATAACTGCATGTGTCACTTAAAAAGTCAGCATGACACTTATCCACTTTTTTGAACGTAAATTTTCCAGTAAATGCACTGGGAGTTACTTGAAATATGCAAATAATTACTAAATGTTTCTTTGGGTAAAGCTTTGCATTGAATTAGTTAAATTCTTTTTCTGGAAAATCACTTAGGATTTTCTGATTGCCATTCTTTCCCAAGTTCCTGATGTCAGCAGTGTTTGTAATCTCAACAGTGCGTTTCTATGAGTGTTGATTCTCCTTGTTGGTAGCAGAGGGGCTGCACAAGCTGTCTGTATGCCTTGCCCCATCAGGAAATAGTGTAAGTTTCATTCCAATTTCAAGCCACTGTCAGCTCATTTTCTTCTCTTCTGACAATTTTTGATTATGCTTTAGCTTTTGGATCAGTTTAGCTTTTGGAGGAGGTAGAAAGTACGCTTTATAAAGAAACCCATCATTTGGTTCTAACTGTTTGATTATAAATGCATGTGCACGGTAAGATACTAAACTATCAATGAGTAGTCAATAAGTAGGTCTTAGAGTTTTTATAAAACAAGGACATCTTTCCATAATCCCTTCCTGCTTCCCTTCAACAATTCAAGATGTGTACAAGTAGGAAGGGCACCGGGATTACTCATGGTTCAGGAAGCACAGCTGCACAGCGTTAACACTCTGTGTACTGCAATAGTGAACATGCTTTATTCTTGTTAATGAACAATTTTTAATACCTGTTCACTGAAATAGCTAAGCTTGTTCAATGTTGAAAGGGCTAAGCTGTTAACAATTTAGACTTTCCATGTTTTAATAACTTAAGGTAAGTTGCCTTGTCAAAGCTTGGGAATTGGAGTGCAACTAATAATACTTAGCAAGTTGGAAACTTATAATATATTATAATGAAATTTCTTGGGGGAGAGAATGTAGAGATGTGAGTCTGTTAGGAAAAAAATATGACTACTGTTGGCTTACCTATCAAACTTTGAACAAAACTTTAATCGGATATAAAGCAAGAAGTGGGAAATGGCAAGAGAAGAATTTTGACAGATTTCTGTTATTTTTAAGGAAGGTAGCAACTTGGTGTTAATACTTTTAACAGTAAGGAGATTCTTTTTTTGACAGTGGTACCTAATTGAACGAGAAGCCTACAAAGTGAGCCTTGCATCATCCCTATTTTTTGCTGGATTGCTTATTGGAAATATCACATTTGGCCCTTTGTCAGATAAACTGGGCAGGAAACCAGTGTATATCTCAGGTAAGATTGTTAAAAGGTTTTTCTTAAGCATTCTACGTGGATACCAACATCTCTTTCTGCCTGTGGGCCACCCTGCCTGGAGGCTGCCCTTGGGCCACCGTGCTGCATCAATGTTACGGAGTCAATGATCTGTATAAGCATTTCACTCAGGGTAGAGCAGCACTAAAATTTGTTAGTATGAGTGTGCTGGGCAGCATAGTGGTTGCTGGAGTATCAATAGGAGATGAAGAATAACCTGGTCTTGCTATGACTATCACTATTTGAGCACAGTGTTCCACGCATTACCTGGCCATATTGTCTCCAATAAAAATTGCTTTTTGGGGAGGGAGGGGATGGGGGAGAATGATTTACCTAAACATCTGTAGAGTGGGTAGCTCATGTCCTGGTGTTTGGTTTTCCAGGTGTGTTTGCAGCCACAGGGTCTTTTTGTTTAATGATAACATTGTTTCAAGGAAACATCATCTTTGGCATTGCAGACCTCAAGTGCGTGACTTGAAGATGATTGTAATTTTCATGTGGTGTGACTTCAGAAAGCAAAACGGGAGAGATTAGAGACGAGTACTATAGACTGCTCATTACAGTCAGTAACTAACTGTGCTCCCTGCCTTTCTTCTGAGTTCAAGCTGCATAGAATAAGTACTAATTAAATTTTATTCTCTCTCTACAGGTCTATTTTTTGATGTCGTTTTTGGGTATGTCACAGCATTAGCTCCAAATTATGACGTATTTGCAGTTTCACGGTTTTTTGTTGGAATTGTGAATGGTGGAATGGCTCTTGTGTCTTTTGTCCTAACCCAAGAATATGTAGGAAAATCATTTTGGTCATTTACAGGTGGGATTTGGGAATATTTAATCATTATTACTGTGCCATGTATTGTTCCGACTATCGATACCTTACATTTTAAAGTCTTACATGTGTACCAAGTAAAGTCAGTTTGTAGCGTAAGTCAAATAAGCGTGATGTGATTCATCCAGTTCTGATTTATGTGGGAAAAGTGACTGAATGAGGAAGATGGGATTGAGTTTGTTTGATAAATAGCAAAACTGAGGTTTTAAAATTGGTACACTGATTCCTAAAATTTCCCAATTTGTCCACTGCATTACAACAAAAAAAATTATATGTTTCTGGCAGATCCTGCCAACTTCTGAGCAATGCTGTATGGTGTCTTGGGAAGGTATTCTTGAAAGCGTTCTTTGAAGTTTCCCTGCGCCACAAAATGAGTTGGTGCCTGGGTAGTGTTTTTTCCACTGCTGAATATGTTGACTGTCCAGTATTTTTAAATGTTCTTTTTCGTATGTCACTGCCAAGACTCAAAATAAATTTAACGCTTGTACGTCAATCTGCTGGCGTAGCTCAGACTGTAACGCCTTTTTGGCCAGCGCAGCATGGGGAAAAACTTGGTCCAAATGCTGACTTGCTGTGGCTGTGAGCATATTTCTCTTTCTCTCTCATTTCTTTAGTTACCTCATTTTACTCTTTTTCTTATTTCTTCTCTGGACTCCTGGGGATGTGTGTGACAGTTGTGGTTTAGTTATAGCTTTCCACTTAGTTTTTTTTTTTTTAAGTACTGAATTTTCTTCTTTTCCCCGGTTCACTTTTTTGACTCACGTTCTCTCTCTCCCCCACCCCTCCTTCCCCCTTGCCCTGTTGTCTGTCTCTGCTCTTCCCAGCCTTTCTCCCTGCAGGGCCAGCCTCCTGATGGACCGAAGAGACAGTCCGTTTCCTGCCGCTTGTTGCTATAGGTGCTTTATTCTAGTTCTGCTCAGCTGTTGAGAAAGAGGTGCTGAACAATTGATCAGGGGCTGAAGGAGAGGGAACTGCTGGATGCAGCTCAGCAGTGTTAAAGAGGCTCTCCTAGGTGTTGGCTGTGAGCTAGGCTTTGTGGGCGATAGCTGAGAGTTTCTGGGTTAGTCCAAGGTCTCCTATGTTAGTCTGCAGAGGGTTTGTTGTTAGGCTTTTGGAGTTCAAGTTGACCCCATATTTTTAACCTTTTTATTTACGCTTGTTCATCAGAAGTGTGCTGTAATAAACCTCTGGTTTGCAGCTGGTTTTGTACTGAACTCACTTCCAATTTCTGTTCCAGCCTGCCACCTCTATTCAAGATTACCTTAATAGACCTAAATAAATCACTCTCAACACTTCCCCTTCCTGTCCTCAGGTTTTCTCTTTAGCCTGTAGGCTCCTGTTCATTTCTTAGTCTCCTATGTACCACCCTTTGTTTTTGAAAGGGGGGGGGGAAGCCCCAAAGCCCCCCATACATTATACAAAGCTATTCTTCATTGGGATTGCATAGTATACTGAAGCCAGCTGGTTCACAAGTGCCGTAAAGATACCTCATAAAATTGCTATTTTATTTAGGTTTATCACAGGCTAGGAATTTCAGGCTTCTGCTTGAGAATTTTTTTTTTCTTTTGCCAATGGTTTCTGTAGTCACCATTTTGGTCTTGTATTTTCAGGTTCGTTAACTAATTTGACATTTGCAGTTGGCATTGCTGTTTATGCTTTACTGGGTTACTGTATAAGAGAATGGCGCTACCTTGCCTTGGTATCGAATACTCTAGGAGTCATCTTCCTTCTTCTTTCTTTGTAAGTGGTTCGCGTGCATTATAATGATAAGAAAAAATATGCAGTAATTTAACAGTTACTTTTCCTTGTCATCATTCAAGAGAGTGGTATAAACAAGGATGACATTTTTCTGTATGGTTTTGTGAACCAAGCAAGAGAAAAATCATATTGTGAAGGAAGAAGCGGTTTTAAATGAAGCAGAAGGTCAGGGTTACCCAGAAGACAAGCTGTGTTTCTACATGCTGTTACAGTTGTGGTGGCCAGCGTTGCAAAGAGCAGCTGTGTGCCAGCTGTCCAATAAAACTCGATTACAAATCTGCTTGGGGAAGAGAAGGCCTGCCAGAGGCTGCGAGCTGGAGCGTCAGCCAGGAACACTGCCTTCTGCCAAGGAAGGGCTTCAGCGCTTGAGGAGTTTTGGAAGTGATCCTAGAGGGATTTTAGTTTCTTTTTGTGAGGCACATGCATGCAAAGGGAAATAAGTGAGAACACTTGGAATTGCCTTTTTACCCTGATAGGCTATCTATCTGCTTGCTTTTGAGGTCCCTTGTGTCTGTTCCTAGCACTATTGTGCTTGGGTGCTCCTATTTAGAGTTCCTACATGGACATTATCATAAAAGTGATTATGAAATGTATCGGTATTTAAGGAATTAAAAGGGCTAGCTCTGTCTGGCCTGTGTTGTTGCAAAATATTTTTTTTAACATATCAAATAATACACCATGTATACTTCTGATCACTAAAGCTGTAGAATAAATACAAGAATTAGTGTACCATGCTGTCTACACATTAATACAGGGAATGTCTAGCATACAGTGTAGATAGCAAAAAAAAAAAACAAACAACCCTCTTCTGATTTTTATTTCAATTATTTTTAAAAAATTTCAATTATTTTTTAGATAGATCTGCTCTTGAAATAAGTTCTGTTAAAGAATACACCAAAAAAAAACCCTTCTTCCTGTAGTCAAGGAAAACAAAGCCTCTGGGCTGAGGAAAGAAGTTCTGCATAATGTGTTTTCCTCTATGCTGTTCTGTTTCTGATGGAAATAGAATTACTTCCCCCAAATACTGAAAATACTGGGATCCTCTGAAGTAATGAAAGTTTAGTTTGGTTGTAGGATGTATATCTCTGTTAGGAGTACCAGAGAAAATAAAGGTTCAGTTAGAAATATTCCATTCTTTATTTTACGGCTTGTATAAAAGCAGCAGCAGCACACTCTACAACCTGAAAAAAACAGGAATCATGAACTGAAGTTGTGGTAAGCAAGGATATTCTGATTATACTTGGGAATAAGAGATTTAAAACTTAGGCGGGCAGCGACGAGCTGGTACAGGAGCCTGACAAGTAGTTCCCCAGTAAGGTTTCTTTCCTCTCCTCTCCACTCTAACTCAGAGATCTTCCCATAGTGGAGAAGCTTGAAATAAACTTTGTGAAAACAAAGTTTTGTCTGGGCTGTTCAGATAATTGAGATTTGAGATGCTTTCTGGATAACGCTAGTGTAGTGTTTCCTAAGAAGTCCACGACTGAGTGCTTGGTCAAGCATCTCCGGCAATCCTTCTGTAAGGTTAACTGTGTTATTATTGGAGTACGTGGAATTTAATATGCAGAACGCTGCAAATAATAGAATGTTTTTCTCCGACTTTTGTATTGGTACTTTTTTTTAAGTATTGATTTGCAAAATGGAAAGATTGACTTTAGTGCTGTGCTCATAGGAATGAACTTGTTATCCTTGATTTTCTGTTCTTTGCTGTTAGTATGCTCCCAGAATCACCACGATGGCTATATTCCCAAGGGAAAACAGCAGAAGCTGAAGATGTGTTGCAATATATTGCCCTTGGTAATGGAAAAGAGAGATTAAATCTAAAATTAAAACCAAGTGCAGGAACTTTCAGAAAGGATGAATCGGCACCTGGTATCCTAAACTTGGTAAAACATCCAGTCCTTCGGTGGCGAACCATCATACTGATGTACATCTGGTATGTAATAACAAGACACTGAGGTGCTTGAATGAGTCAGACGTGAGGAAATGATTAAGATTTTCATCCTTTTCTTTTGAAAATTCTGTCCTCAAAAACTAAATCATAAATTTGTCAGTTGATGGCAGACAATAATAATCTAAAATTATGTGTTGTAAAGTTGATGTTTCATTATTATTGCTGTTGCGTTTTATTTTCAGTGTGTTACTTAGAAGCTGCTTCAAAACCTACTAAGAAATAATCTGGTGAAAACATAATATTTATATTGAGAGAAATGAGAAGCTGAAGCAGAAATTACTGAGAAGATGTGTATTTGAACCAGTCTTAGGAAGAAAAGGACTACACGGGTTAGACAACAGTAGATATCTGGAGTAAGCATAAGTGTTAAGAGCCCAAAAGCACATTACATGGGTTCAGTGGAGGAAAACTGGGGGCAAGATAAAATACAGATTGCATAGATGTATATTAGATGCTGTCTTGAAAAGTGGTACAACTTGGGAAGCGCAGGAGGATGTAGTGTAATATATCAGCAAGAAATGGCAGTGCAGAGGGAACCCCTGGGGTGCGGAGGGTGTTGGGTTGGTTGTTGCAGCGGCAGCTGTTGCAAATTGGCTTGAGCTAAAATCTGTTGGGAGGAACAGCTCTTTTCCAAAATGCCAAGAAGAAGTTTTCCCTTCAAAGTTCAGCATCATTTGAGATGGTTGTCAGGGTGTAGATGAGAAAAATCAGTAGTTTGATGTGTGGGGTAAGCAGAGATGTGCAGGACGTGGGAGAAGCGGCAGGAACATCTTTGCTAAGTAGGACCTTCCCAGGAGCATGATAGACTCTTAAGTTGTTGGTAGGCAAATATGAGTAATTACAGTGATGAGAAATCACACAAAGGCTTTCTTACCTTCTGGAAGAAGAGGTCGCAGCAGTGTTTTTCTGTCTCGAACCCTGTTAAGATGCAGTGCATGGAGCTGTTGGAGTGGTGTCACAGCGGTTGTTACCCAGCTCCGTGTGCTGTTGCTCAGGAGCCTTTAGCACCACCCTCAGCTGTGACCGACGGAGGACGTACTTCTCCCTGTATCAGGCAAAACTTTCCTTTTCTACATCAGTTGGTGCAGATTCCCCAGTAAGGGAGCGACTAAAGAACAGGCAAAATGTCTTTGTAATATCTTTCCAGCCTTTCCAACCCAGCATTGTTTTTTTGCAGGATGGGGATGCGGGGACTTAGTTTTTTCCAAGGAAAGTGATAATAGGTTTGTTGGGGAAGCCTTCCCTAGGTTTGGGGAACACCCTCTGTGTTAAGCAATGGATGTGCATATAATTGTCTTTCATAGGATTGCTTTGGCAACAGTTAAGCATCAGCTGCTTACAGTTAAGCTTATTAGATTTGCTAAATAACTGAGGATAAAAACCAAGCTAATAGAAAATTCTGAAAGTTCTGCTTGCGTATGTATGAGCACTTCTTTCAAGAAGTTACTTTGTTTAATTAAATAGGAACTATTCTCTTTGCCTTGTTTCCCTTTTGGGGGGAAATAAGAGTTGTCTTCCTAGCATGTAACTCAATATAGCTAATCCATAACTCAGCATAATTTACCTTTTAAATACTTTCTTAGCCCTGAAGTCTAGTAATGTTAGTAATATCACTTTTATGGTTATTTTTAGGTATGTCTGCAGCTTTGTGTACTATGGACTAACTTTAAATGCTGGTGAATTAAGAGGAAATCTGTATTTAAATGTGGCTCTTTCTGGTCTTGTAGAAGTTCCAGCATTTCCTCTCTGCATGTTTTTTATTGAGAAATCCTGGTAAGAAAAACTTATTTCCTCGTTTTCTGCATATATTTGTAGATAGCCTAGAAAAATATTAACATTTTTCTCAGTAAGATAACATCACTGTTTTTCTAAACAGTGTTGATTCTTTGGGGATTTACTCCGCTGCAGGGGTTTCTGTAGTTGATACAGAAATGGGATTCCGATTTTCTACCTCTTCTCTTTTTTTAGTTTTGTTCATCTTTTGAATTACTCGAGATGAGCTTTTCAATGATTAATGTTATTAGAAAAAGTTTGGTCTCTATGGAAAAGATGTGAGTAGCCTAGTTATTTAAGTATCTATAGCTTCTCTCTCTCCCTCTCTCTCTCTTACATATTTTATTCAGAATGACTTGTTTTTGTACTGCCTACCAGCTGCAGTTGAAAGCAGTTTTCAGCATTGTTCATTTTTACTTAAACTTTCCAAAGAGAACTTGGAAGTGAGAGTAGTTCAGGTTTTGTTAAGGCACGAACGATCGATGTCCGGGTATTTTCATACTTTTCAGTGTATTTGGAGGCCATCCTTTATGTGGGTACGTGTTTCCAAAGGCCGAACAGTCTGGCAACCCAGAGCTACTCAGGGTTTCATGTAACCTTCAGTTTGAGTATCTTTGTAATGATACTTTGGTCACACTGAGGTCAGTGGCAAAAATCCCGTTTTCTTCAGTCAGGTGAGGATGTCAGCTTTTGGGGGTTTTGGGCAGTAAAAAGCTGTGAGCTTGGTCAAGCTAAAAAGCAAAACAACCAGCCAACCTTCACCTCAAGCCCAAGAAGCCTGAGTCAAGGACATGCATTTAAACCACAAACTGGACAAGTGCTTTTCTACATTTTTTTTTTCCCCATTGTAATTTGTCAAACTAATTGTAAATGTCAAGCTTTTGGTTTCCTGAAGTAAGGGTATGTGTACTTTTAGGTGCTTAATGCAAAATGGAATGTTACAAGCCAGCTGCTCTGTTGTCAGTCTTTGTGAGCAGTATCCTTGAAGTATAGTTTTTTTGTTGCAAAAATATTTAGAAGATTTTAAAAACAAGTATTGTATGTTTGTTACAGACAAAGTGTAGTTCTACTAGTATGGGGTAGTAGTTAGAAATAGCTGTGAGATTTTATGAGGTAAGAAGCACGTATAGTATTTTGACATCCCTGCAAACTGTTACCAAGAATATCTTTATTTGTGGTCCTTTGCAAATAATTATGAAATATTTAAGTATGGCAGATGTGGAGACGGACTGGTGATTTTCTGTCCTGTTATCTTCTCTTTTATTTTAAAACACTAGGCAGTAGAAATAGCCTTTGCTTATTTCCGTGTGTACACTATTAGACAGAAAAGCATACAAAATAGTTTTACTGTGTGTCATAACTGCATATATTTATGCAAAGTTGTAAAAGAGAAATACGGATTAGGAAGCATTAGAATTACATTTTCTTGACCAATATTAATTTGATCTTTGTGTGTATGCACTGTAATACCCATTTGGTGATGGGGCCCATTGCCTTGCTCGGTACAGAGAAGAAAAAAGTCTGAGTTCTTGTTGCTGAAGTAGATGGGTTCCTCTCGAGGCTACAAATTCAACAGCTTAAAAATCAAAACTTGGCTAGAAATAGGAAAGCTTTTGCGGGAGGACTTTGGTACACGGAACTAGGAAAATAATGCAAGATTTGGAGCACTTACCCATGTACAATAGATTTATAACTGTTACTAATGCTGCTGTGTACTTTAGTTGGTATTTTGCAGACAAATTCAAAAAAACACTGAAGAACTCTGTTTTCATCTTTATCTGGGTGCTCTTTTCCTTCTAGGTCTGGAAGACGTAAAACTATGACGTGTTTTCTGATATTTGCAGGATTTGCCTGTGTATTTACCATGTTCTTACCAACAAATGCTGGTAAGTATGTACTGCTGCTAATGTAGATGTTTGTTAATTCAGATAAAAGCTGACAAAACAACGTCATGAGTATTTTGTGACCAAGTATATCAGGGCCCAAAGCCCTATCCATTTATACCTCTCTCTTTCTCTGTTGCTTCTTTCGGGGGTCTGGTCAGGGAACCGCAGTCTTGCCTATATTGCTTTTAACTTCTTGCTGGCATAACTTGACCCTGTTAATTGACTAAGATTGTCTGACTGCAAGCCCTTGGCTCTTTGAAGGTCAGACCAAACTATCACGTTCTGTCTTAAATACTGACGCTGCATTAATTTATCACTTAAGCAGTTTACCTTAAAATACTGGATTTGATAGCCAGACTGCAGCATAGTGTAATGTTAGTTTGACTGGATCTGACAGTGTGAGATGCCAAGCTTAATTTTACATTTGTTTTGGTGGCACGTAATATTTATGGAAACAGGAACTGAGATTTTCCTGAAGTAGAAGCTTAATTCATCATTAAAAAAACCCAAACCACTAAAGCTTTAAAAAAATACATTTTGTACTTGAAAATTAGAAATGGAAGTCAGAATTGCAATATGGAAGCCATAGGGATGAAGCTTGCTGCCTTTCTCAATCTCATGCTGTGTATTGCTGTGTATTGCTGCACTATGTGGTTGTGAGGACAGTTCATGGTAACAGTGGAATATCATCAAGTATATTTCTCATCTCAAAAGATGTGTTTTTTCTAACATTGTCAGTGACATTCACATATGTTTGGTTTTGTATTTTCACTTTTCTTTCCCTTTCAAGTACAGTTTTTCTGTATTAATATTTATTTTGGCTACTGAAAACTTATATCTATACAACACTAACAAATAGAAGTGGCCACTTCCTGCTTGTATTTTTCTTAATATTGCTTCAGTAGAATTGTTGTAGCTTTAACAGTGTTTTGACCCAGGAGCACCAGTGATGTGATTACAAGGTAGCCTTCTATGGGTTGTGTTTATCCTTAACAGTTATAAATGCTGTCTGGCATCCATTTCAAATTGATCTCAGAAAAGTCTCAGAAAGAAAAACAGAGAGAGAGAAAATATCCCGTAATCCTATTTGCCATGCTTGTGTTAATTAAAGTCCTCAGACGTTTTGTTGCTCCTTTTATTAAGACTGTTTCTTCCTTTGTTCCAACAAGTTTCCTCTTTCTGCTTCTTTTTATATATATTAAAATAAAATGAAAGAAAGGCAGTAGTGACTAATCAGGATAGGGTAAATAATACCTGAAGAGTTGCTAAATTTCAGGAAATCTTCTGCATTTTCCAGTTGAGTTGACTTTAATCCCATTAAAACATTTTACTTCCCACGGTGGTTAAGAGTAAAGCTGGTTCTTGGCCCAGAGTGATCTGTGTCAGTTAAGTAGAAAGAAATTCAGCTTCAAGCATGATGAAGATGAGTCACTTCACTGGATGAAATGAGGGCTGTTGGATCTCTAATCTGACCCTCCTGTTACTAAGGAGAACACTTCTTACATTTGTCTAAGTCTGCATTCTTCAGAGTGATTGACAAGAGCCTTGATTTTATTACACGATATTGAAGATTTTAATGAGATATTGGGCACTTGCCTCTCATGTCTGTAACCTTCACTCGATTTCTAAATAACTCTGTTAACTTGTGAATGAGAATTGGATCCAAGTCATCTTCCCTGTGGAATAAGCCAAGAACATTGCAGTTATTAAAGATGTATACTGCATTTGAGACTAAAAATCTCTCAATGGTTAATTAAAAACTGATATATCCCTCAGCTCCCTCATTCTTTATGACTTAGAACTCATCAGTTAATTGGTGTGAGTATCAGATTGGAAGTTGGTGAGGGAGAGTGGCAGCAGAGGGGGAATGGAGCTGTAATGTTCTTTTCTTTCAAAAACTGCTGTAAAGCACAAAAGTGTCTTCTGCATTTTGTATCTGCTTTATACTATAGCAAACAAAGGAGACTTCTAATCTAGGGGTGACTAGATTTTAACTTTCATTTAGATTTATCTGCTTGTGCTGAACACATAATAACTTTTTGTGACTTTCATTGCTATGTTTTCCACTGAAGAAGGAAAGAAAAATTGCAGTTCTGTAAATAAATTGTCTCAGCTTTTGTTAATGTTGGGTATTTAATTTTCTTGATAACTAACCTTTCTTGGTGGATACTTTTTCTGAAGGTAAACTTAGACTCCTTTAGTTTCAAAAGTACTGTTTAAGTGAACTTTTACTTACGAAGATGACAGCCAGAAGGTGAATCTACATAACGGCACTGCAAATGAGACTCTTAATGGCAGTGATGGCATCAAAACTCCTGTTCTAGAAGCTCTTAAACATCAGCACTGTTTGTTACCATTTTCCCCCGCTTTACTTCCCTAAATTCAAAAGATCAATTAATGGAAGATTATTCCTTATCAATAAAACTCAAATGCATGAATTTAGTAAGAACTTACAACTTTGCCTTTTACCAAAACTCGAAACAGTTGCCCTGACTGTACTGTTTCAGGCAGAATTGTGTGCAGACCGCTGCTGCTGGATGTTCACATGACAGGGTGGTAGACAAAATATAACAGAAGTGTTAAAGATGCTGCATGGACATGCTTGGCTGGACCTAGCGAATAACCTATAAATGGTCACAGAATCCTCCTAGGAGAAAGTGCAT